CTATAATTAATGATGCAGAACAGTGGAACCAAATCTACTATTTACTTAATTTTAAAGGAGCAAATTGGAGGAGAAAAATAATCCTTGTCACTTTGGGAACTAGAAAGGAGGATCTATGCAAACTGAAGATCATAACTTAAAAATAACTAAATTAATCTATAATTAATAATAATAATAATCCTTGCATTTGATACTTAGTTGCAAACTCACCTCTCCTTTTTCTTAAGCATTATTTGAAGCGTGTGAATGGGTATCAAACCTGCTCACAGGTTTCCACCAAAGGTACTAGGTAACTGGATCTTAATAGCTCTTCCAGCCTTTTTTCCATGTAGGGACATTTTTTGTTATGGAACGAAAACATGAATCCACCTACACAACACTGTCATGATGGCAGAGTCTGTGGGGAACCTGAATAATTTTCATTTTAATTGTTATCACTAGCAAAGACACAAGAACACAATTTTTTGGACAAGAGTTCATTATTAAATCATCTGGAAAAAATTTTAAGCAAATATTTTTCATGAGTTGTAAATTAAAAAGTGTCTACTGATCCAGTCTTAACCTTGATGACTTAAGCATACATTGAGTTAAATGACTTTTATCTTCGAAATTATATGGCCTAATTAATTTTACTGTGCTGCATTTAGATTTAACTGTATTGAAATTAGAATAAAAAATTAACATTCTAGGTTGTGATGACCAAAAATCTATACACCTCCACTAAAATTGTATTCATGCATTGGGAAAAAAATACTAAAAGCTTTTTTTTAAAAAAAACATTTTACCTTTATCACTTGACGTTCTTATGAAAGTAAAATTCCCTTTGTTTATCATGGAAAATCTGAAAAAGATCTGGTATCATCAGAGTCCTGTAGCTCAGTGGTGAGAGCACTTGGCTCGCAAGCGAAAGACCTGGATTTGATTCCTGGTAGGGTGAAAAGTTGGGCAAGTTTCCTTATGCACCCGCCTGTTTACCTAGCAGTAAGTAGGAACCCTGTTATTCGTCGAGTGGCAGATCGCTTTTATGTGGGTAATAATTCCTTCAAAAAAATAATAATAAATTGGTCACTTCAATCCACGACTGGTTGTGGGATATTGCGGTGCGCAATTGACTGCCCACAAAATACATAGTCAATTCACTTTACAGTATATTCTGTGAAGTGCTTTGAGATGTCTTGAAGACGTGATAAGGTGCTACGTCAAATGTAAGGATTATTATTATTATCTTTACTGGTAAAAAAAAACAATGGTGGTTCTAATAGCAGTAATCTCTGTGAAATCGGTCTAATCCCAGGTGACACAGTGACTGACAGCTGTGAGTGCAATTAGAAAAGAAATGATTTCAATTCAACAAACTTTCTATTTATCATTCATTTTGAAATCTATTTTATGTGAGATTGCCAGGTTTGGGGCCCAAATGCACAAGAGCTGAGTTGAAACTGCACCAGTCAGTCAAAGAAAAATCTTGTCCCCATTCTTTTTAGTGATTAATCCTCATCTCTAGATCTTTCCATCCAGAAAACTCAAGAACGACACAATCTGCCCTCAAGCTGCTAAACAACTTTACTGTCAGCAAATACTGGGTGCAAAGGCATAGAAGGAGCTTTTTCAGCCTTCAAGATCCTCCCTCTGTTTAGAAATGTTACAGAACAAGAGATATTTTTTTCATCAGAGGTAGCATTGCGGCAATTTACCCACATTTTACCACTTCATAGTGAAGTACAGAAACAGAGTGTACCTCTGCAATTGAATTAACATTGTATCATCAAAAAGCTCCCAAAATCCATCACACGTTAATGCTCATAATATACTGTGTCAATCATGATATATGACAGACATTTTGTACACTTATTTGGTTGAGATTGGATGAAAAAACATTGTTTTTTATTACTATCTAAAATATTGTACACACTCCCCTTCCTATAGGGTATTGAAATAAATAATTATTTTTGAAGAAAAATGTAGAATTGCATTATTTTAACATTCTTTCCTGCGCAGATCAATAAATTAAGATTAGGATTCATAACCTAATCACAAAAGACCGATTATAACATCATTTGAATGAATTCTCCTATTGTTAAAATAACAGAAAGCAATATCATGCTCATTTTACATTTGACAAAGAACTCTTAAGATATACAGCCTGTAAGACAGTTTTATTCCTCCCTTTACTCTTCCAATCCTCAAAGCTGCACTATATGAAAGTTAAATTTCTTGAGTTGAAGTAACCTGGACAAGTAGCCATTTTTCATGTGATAGTCAGGACATTTAATATCAATGAAGCAATGAACCACTTAAGCTATTGCAGCCAAGTAATCCTTTCCTCACATAATGTCCACACATACACACAAATATTGTAGTTTTAGTGGGAGTCACTGGATGCTAAACATCCCTTTATTGCACAATTCCCTCCCCACCCCCCCACCCCCCCAGCTGACCTGGGGATGCAACATCCAACAACATCCCCCTCTCACAGGATAAAAAATAACTAACTGTGATGGCAATTTGAGCTACCTGATCTGCATGGCTCAGTGTCACACTTTGCTATACGTGGAATAGTAAAAACAGATTCCTAATGCATGATTCTCACAATCAGTTGATAAACTCCGACAATCATTACCAACAGTCTTCATTGAATGACAGCTGGCACCTTGATCCCATTTTATAACATACATAACAATGAATTAAAAGGATTCCTGTTCTAGGAACAAATGTTTGTTGAGGATAAAGACACTTGTTCTCAAGTGACATTTGGATTTATCAGATATTTTTAGCAGTTACTGCTGGCCGTTGTGATAGTTGTATTACAAAAATGTACACTATCACCTCTAACTGCTCCATTAATTTCTATATCTATTCCCATTTCTTGTTCTCTATTTTATCAAAAATTAGGGGAGTAAATCTTGCTCAAAGAAATTCTTCAATGTTAGCAGCTAGAAGCCCGGTCTGCATCTGCCTCCCTGCAACCTCACTATCCGGTGCTCAGCAAACAGTCCACCCAAAACAGTGAAATTTGGTCACTGAGAACAGACCAGTTTGAATTTCAGTCAAGGTATTGCAGTTCAGCATTGTATCAGATTGTACTCATATATCTTTTGGTTGACACTTCCTGCAAACCACTATATCGGAATATGAAAACATCTTGCCTGACCAAAATTTCACTAATCTGCAAACTATAATAATCCTTGCATTTAATATAGCACCTATAATGTCAAAATGCCTCAAAGTATTTTACAGGGAATTGCCTTCAAGTAAAGTGCCAGAATTTCTTGGGCAGGGAGAAACCCTCGGGCAAGTTTCCTTACTCCACTCGCCTGTTTGCATAGCAGTAAGTAGGAACCCAGTTGTTTGCACTGCGTGGAGGGCGCTATACAAGTGCAAGTTGTTGTTTTTTTAAAAAAAATTGGAACTTGGTCACTCAATTCACGACTGTTTGTGGAATGGAATAACGAGTCAAATTTCAAAGTAATTAAATGCCTGATATTTGTGATGTTTCAGGATGATAAGCAAATGAAGTTTTTTATTATGATCTATCTTACAACGCTAAATACAGGTACACCTTCTTTTGATTGCAATAATGAACTTCAAAATCCCCTCTGCATTCGTTTTCTATTTGATAGACTCGATCATCATTAAAATATGCAACACCATAATTTCATGTTTGCTGAGGAAAAATGAACAGGTTATTCTACTCAATAAAATGACCAATTTCCCCCTTCTCTGTTGTAAATCGATGTCAAAATACGTAAACTACAGTATTCCATGTCTCTTATTAGCTATCGGGTGTTTATTTTGAACTACTCAGTGCCTCGAAATGTATAGCTATACAAAGCCACTCTGAATGAAGCCGAGAACCTGAGCCGATATGTGCGGCCGCATTTTCCGCGGAATCCGCAACAAACCGCCTCCTCCGTTACAAATGTAGTTTGTGGCGCGCGGGGCTCATGGCTGTTTACCTGACGTCACTGTGGGCGGGGCGGTCCAGACGCGCATGCGCGGTGCAAGCGGCAAATGGGCTTCACTCGGAAGCCGCGCTGTTGTAATTGTTTGTGTGGATTGTCTGTGTGTATCTCTCTGTATGTATTCATGAGTGTCTGTGTTTCTGTGTGTGTATGTGTCTCTCTCTTTGTTTGTGCCCGTGTGGGTGGGTGCCTCTCTGTTTCTGAGCGTGTGTCTCTCTTTGGGTGTATGTGCAGTGCTGGGCCCGGTAGCTTCGCTGCTGTCCCCACTCCCCCCCCAAAAAGGCCCCCCAGTTTTTTGTTAAAGAAGCAATTAGTATTTTTTGCAACAATCTAATATGTGTTATTTCCTCATGCTTAATATTCATCAGTAAAGTGAAAAATGTAGGTGGGCAGTAAAATGTATCTCAATAGCACCAATCAACTCCCCGCCCATTTTCTGCAAAATATGTCAAAAGTTACCCCGCAATTCTCCGCAACAATTTCAAATCTCCCCACAATATTTCCGCAGTTTTCTATTGTCCCAGCGGAGAACCGACTCCAGACCCTTGCATTGCAGCGCAGCGTTGAACCAATAGTTTTAGGCAACTCTCGATTACAAAAAAGGCTTCTGATACACTCATGGATGATGTTCCAGTATGTGGAAATAAAGACCTTCATATAAAGTGTTTTGTGGTAAAAAAGCACTAAAATATTACTTAGTTATTTTTCTTTATCCAGAAGTTTTTAGGGTGGATATTTTATATTCTGTTAGCTACTATTGTGCAAAAATATCTTATAAATCCAAATGTCACTTGAGAACAAAGGTCTTCATCCTCAACAACTTGTTTGTTACATACTGTAAAATATTCCCGTTTGGATAAAGCTATGCGTAAACTATTGAACGGGTATAAATCTGTGTTGGTAGTGGTATTAATTACGCATTCCCGCCACCATTATTTTTCGGAGTTTACTGAAATTGTGTTCTCGTTAGACCCAATAGATCGGTAAAACTGGTTTTGTTCTGGATTTTGTTGCTAGTCTTGAATCAAAAAAACACACCGTAAATTTTGCTGGCTCAGGCCGGGACCTTTTCTGGAGGGCAGTTAGCATCGGCTCTCTGCTCAGTAGATCTGAAAGAAGACAGTGGGGTATTGATCAGAACACTCGGGAGAGTAATGGAAGAGATAGACTGAGTGACTACCATTGCTTCAGAGCCATTCCCTACCCTATTTGATAAGTTTCAACACGAGTCCTGCGGGCGTGATTTGCTTCGGGGATGACTGCCGTGGACCCCAGTTGACAGTTGGGTTAACAAACCTGCTGCACCCTCCCGGCTTCACTGTGTGTGTGTGTGTGTGTGTGTCTGTGTGCACAATACACTGTATTCGTATATACATGATACACTTGCTCTCTCAATTAACGATAAGAAATTAAGGGGCGCAAAAAAAACCATCTGCGAAAAACACAATGAAACATACTGTTTCTGACCCATTCCCTTGTCTAATTTGACAACTTTTCTATGACACATGGACGGTTGTCACCCGGCGCGAGTCCCGGTGAACCTGAGACGACGGTTCGTTCGCCGCCGTTTCTGGCGATTCAAAAACTCAAAGCCGTCAATGTTGAAGTTTTTTTTAGTGCTTTCACCGATCTTTATATTCGAACACAAGCAAAAAAGGATGCGATCACACTCTCTCCGCTCAACATCACATCTCTTTCTGGCTCAAAGAGCGGGACACTCACCGGCATCGCTGACAGGCTCCGGAAGCAAGTGTGTGCGGGGAGGGGAGCGTTGCATGCTGGTCCTTTGTAGTTCTTTTCACTTACTCACTCGCGTCAGCAGTCAAGGCGAGATCTACAACTCCCTGCGGCCAGTGCGGCGGCAACGCGCACGTCGCTCAATGCAGCCAACAGTCCACACACCCCGCCCCCGCTACTGGCCGCTGTGAGTGGCTGCGGTTGAGGACAATGGGAGGCGGGGTCAGAGCGGATCTTGTGAAACGTGATTGGCTGAGGCGGTTGTTAGTCATGGGCCGCGCCGCGCGCGTGAGACGCTTCCTCTTCCCCCTCTCCCCCAAACATCGTAACCCTCCCCCCACATACCCACACCAACCCCCGCAAACACACCCCAAAACACGCACATCACAAACACCCCACACCCCAAAACTCCATCTCCCCCCCCCCCCCACCACACACACAAGCAAACTCCCTCGGACACGCACAAGCTCCACTCCCGCCCCCACTCCCCCTCACTCCCGCTCTCCCACTCCCCTTCACTCCTGCCCCCCCACACATCATCTGCCCCCACACACACATCTGCCCCCCCACACATCATCTGCCCCCCCCACACACATCATCTGCCCCCCCACACATCATCTGCCCCCCCACACACATCATCTGCCCCCACACACATCATCTGCCCCCCACACATCATCTGCCCCCCACACATCATCTGCCCCCACACACATCATCTGCCCCCACCACATCATCTGCCCCCCCACACATCATCTGCCCCCCACACACATCTGCCCCCCCACACATCATCTGCCCCCCCACACATCATCTGCCCCCCCACACACATCATCTGCCCCCACACACATCATCTGCCCCCACACATCATCTGCCCCCCCACACATCATCTGCCCCCCACACATCATCTGCCCCCCACACATCATCTGCCCCCCACACACATTTGCCCCCCACACACACATCATCTGCCCCCCCACCTATCATCTGCCCCCCTTCCATCATCTGCCCCCCCTCACTCCATCATCTGCCCCCCCACACACATCTGCCCCCCACACACACATCATCTGCCCCCCACACATCATCTGCCCCCCACACACATCATCTGCCCCCCCCACACACATCTGCCCCCCCCACACACATCATCTCCCCCCCCACCTATCATCTGCCCCCCCTTCCATCATCTGCCCCCCACACACATCTGCCACCCCCCACACATCATCTGCCCCCCACCACATCATCTGCCCCCCTCACTCCATCAACTGCCCCCCCCCACACATCATCTGCCCCCCACCACATCATCTGCCCCCCCACACATCATCTGCCCCCCCACACATCATCTGCCCCCCCTCACTCCATCAACTGCCCCCCACACATCATCTGCCCCCCCCCACACACATCATCTCCCCCCCACCTATCATCTGCCCCCTTCCATCATCTGCCCCCCCATCATCTGCTCCCCCACACATCATCTGCCCCCCCCACACACATCATCTGCCCCCCACCACATCATCTGCCCCCCCCCACACACATCATCTGCCACCCCCCACACATCATCTGCCCCCCCACACATCATCTGCCCCCCCCACACACATCATCTGCCCCCCCCCACACATCATCTGCCCCCCCCACACATCATCTGCCCCCCCACACATCATCTGCCCCCCCCCCACACATCATCTGCCCCCCCCACACATCATCTGCCCCCCCTCACTCCATCAACTGCCCCCCCCACACATCATCTGCCCCCCACCACATCATCTGCCCCCCCCACACATCATCTGCCCCCCCACACATCTGCCCCCCCCTCACTCCATCATCTGCCCCCCCCACACATCATCTGCCCCCCCCCCCACATCATCTGCCCCCCCCCCCCCCCCCACAATCATCTGCCCCCCCCCACAACATCATCTGCCCCCCCACATACTCCCTCCCTCCTCCCACACGCGTGCACGAGAGTTTGACGATCTGCCTTTAAAGTGCCCGGAGGCGCACATGGCACTTCCTGTTTCGAAGAATGGAAAAGCTTCCAACTGCAGCGGCGGACCCCCCCCCTCCCCCCCCCACCGCCCCCCTCCCCCCCTCCCCCTCCCCCTGCCTCTCTCTCTCTCTGCCTCTCTCTCTCTCTCTCTCCGCTGCCTTCTCCACTCGCTGCTTCGCTATAACAGAATGAGGTGACTCCGCTACCGCGACAAAGGCGGAATATGCTTCAGGATTAAAGGTTTCTCTGTCCCCTCAGATTCCCGGTTGGTGCAGTTTCACTTTTGGTGGAGAGGAACAGTCCGTCCCCCGTCTCTCCCTCTCCCTCTCTTCAGCTCATCGTCGAGGCCCTGTGGTGGAGCCGTGGACTTTTCAATTTTAGGGCTCTTTTTTTCCTCCCAAATTCCTCCCTCGCTCGCTCCAAATTTTTGTGTCTGTCCCCCCCCTCTCCCCCCCCTCTCCCCCCTCCTCTCTGACAGTAAAACTATTCAACAAGTTGCCTTTGGATGTGCATTTGTCATGTGGAGGCTACTGGAACGGGGTTTTGCGCTGTTCTTCTGTTGCACAGTCTGTGGGGTTTATTCCAGCGACTCTCTCCCCAGTAAGTTTTTTTTCATATATGACAGAAAAACTTGAGCAAAAAAAAAGCCGATTGTTTTTAATGTACGTGTTTATTTCGGGTTGACGTGGCGCCGTGTGCGATGTGAGTCTTTTTTCAGGTATAAAATACATTTTTTTTATTTTTATATAAAAACACCCAACGTTTTCTGTTTTTTTAAAAAACACACACACACACACACACACGGCGGCGGCGGCGGCGGCGGGGGGGGGGGGGGGTCTGAGCGGAGGGGCCGCCGCCGCCGCCGCCGCTCTGGCACAGGGCGGGAGGTTGGTGTCCGCCTGGAGCTGAGCTTCAGCTCCGGGAGGTTGTGAAGATGCGCCGAGTGTGAGAAGCGGAGATTTATTCTAAACTCAGCTTTTACTCTTTTCTTAAAAAAAACGTTAACCCCTCATTTTGGTGCAGTGTTGGCGTAAGTGGAATTTAGAACAGCATAACACGCAATAATTGGACTTCGGAGTCGCCTTCGTAACGATCTAATATTAAAACAATATTTCATTTGGCTCCTTATTGAAATACCAGAAAGGCTAAAAACATCTGGTGTTGGGGACTGTGGCCATCAAAGTCAGTTTTGGTACAAAACAAGTCTTCTCATTGATTGCGCCTCACTCTTGGCTGACCTTGAGTGTACGGTCAGACTCCCACAGTACTAACATTGCTGGGAAGTCGATGCTGTGATTATGATTGGGACAGTTATTTAAACACACACCTAACCTGGATTTCAAATTGATTTGCAGTGTTTATTATTTAATGAAGTTCCCTTTTTTTTCTCAGGTAAATAACTATGAAAACCGTGTTTGTTTGTTTGTTTAAAAAAACACGTGTATTTATTTTCTTTTTTGGTTGTGTCTCTGTATTGATTGAATCTCGACTTGAACATCACAGGGAAGAGGGGGACACGGATCCCTTTGGCCGATAATACTGTTTGTTCTGTAATTATATTAATGAGTCTGAAACCCAAAGGTGCATTAAAGGGAACAGCATGTGGTGGTGTCTGGATTTGACAGTGTAGTGAGTTGTGATTGATTGATTGATGCCGATGAACCACTTCTTAGTGTGAGCCGCGAGTCTGAAGGTTGAGGGACCGAGTGTTTGGAAATGGATTGTTTTGTTGACTCTGAACCTTATTATAGGGCAAATCGCGTCGTCAAAAGTCTTTTGTAAACGCTAAAGGGATCCTGATTTCGCAATGAAAAAAAACGAGCGTCTTTACCTAAACCAACCAGAACCAACATTGGAGAATATGCCTTTTTTTAAAAAAAGTAGGGAAATCTTTTCTAAATTGCCCGCCTATGGTTACTATTATACCTTATCCGGAGGGCAGGAATGATGGATGGAATAAGACGGTGTCATTGTGTGAAATGTCGGTGTAGCTTTTTGTCTCAGATTAACATCTTTCGCTCTTAAGATCTGAAGTTGCGACATGTATACCTGATGTTGATTTATCAATTGCTTCTTTTCAGAGCAATAGGAGTCGCACAGATCCAGTTGTGCTTTTGGCTCCACTGTCCATTAAGGGGTCAAAATAGTTCGCAGACGGGAACACAGAATAGTCGAGGCAGATTATTTAGATCCAGACCAGCTAAAGGAACTATATATATATATATATATGTTTGTATGTGTGTCTGGTAAATTGCAAGTCCAACGCATTTACCTCGGCCCGGAGTTGTCACCAAGTAATTATATCCTTTCGCAATAAATAAATACATCGCGAAAGAGCCAGAGAAGCCCGGAAAGCCCGAGAGGAGAAACATCTCCACCATCATCAGAGAGAAAAGCTCTGTGTTTACAGGAAAGTACAGCGCTCATTTCGTCCTGTAACCCCGGAAATCCAGTGCAGTCTGTTCTGTCATAATGTTGAGCCTCGACGGGGATAAACAGTACCTTTTGGTTGGATTTCTTATGTTTGCCTCGTGTCTGTGTGTATAATGGTGGGGAGCTGTGGGGGGGTTCCTGCTCGATTCCAGTGAGTCCACTTCAGCTTAGAGCGTTGTTCAAAGCTGAAGCTGTTGGGCAGATCTAACACCAAATCGTTACCAACATTAACATGTTGTACTTAGTGTGGTCAGAGGTTGAACCGTCATCGTTCACATAATCCTCCCTCCCTCACCGTTCAGTTCGTGTGTACCGGTGTTAATAGAAAATGCCGTAACTTGTATCAGGTTTTCAAATAACAATCAAATATGCATTAACTTTCAGAGATTCCGAGGCGAGCGATATTGCATAAACTTAAAACAAGACACAAGCGACACAGTTTTCATATCTTCATGCCTCCAAAATGAAGCAAACTTTGAACAATAAATTGTCGGTTTTCGTACATTGTCATTGTAATTCTGTCAATTACTTTTTAAAAAGTAAATTCCAAATAGTCAAGTTATTGAACAAAAGAAGTAGTTTTGCGTGACATTATTTTTCACAACATGAATTGACTTACCCTTTGGTAATCTTGTTGGCAGGATTCTTGAAATTGGGCGTATTTTACAACTGCGATTAGCAGTTCTACTCGGAGAGTTCGGAATGGGTAAATTTGCACAATGTTGGGTTTCATAAATTTGTAATTGCTTCTTTGGAATCTGTTCCAAGTTTATATTGCATCAAATGATTTCTTTGCAATCTTGACAATGTGCAACTATTTTTTAAAAAAGGAAACGTTTTGGGCAAATTATTTTGACCCATTCCACCTCAATGTTAAAAGCACTGTAGATAATCATTGTGTGATTTGGTCTATTGGAGTTCTGTAGCTCTGGTTAGAGCGCTCGCCTCGCAAGCAGATACTTGGGTTCTATTCCCGGCAGGGCGAAATGTTGGGCAAGCTTCCTGACGCCACACTCCTCTGTTTACCTAGCAGTAAGTAGGAACCTGGTTGTTCATCGATTAGCGGATCGCTTTTCCGGAGATAATAATCCCTTAAAAAACAATAACAATTTGGTCACTTAATCCACCACTGTTTGTGGGACACTGCTGTGTGCAATTGGCTGCTGTGTTTCACCCACAAATATACAGTCAATTCACTTTGCAGTATTTTCTGTGAAGCGCTTTGAGACGTCTAGACGGTGTGAAAAGCACTATATCAAATGCAAGGATTATTATTGTTGTTCACCTGCAAAATACACAGTCACTCCAATTGCAGTATATCTTGCAAAACACTGAGTGAGATATCCTCATGATGTGTAATGTGCTACATCAAGTGTAAGGATTTTATGTGTGTCATTTTGTTACCATTGCTGAACACTACCCTATCTCAAACTCTGGACAATAATGAACAGTATGATGTTTGAATTGACTTGATTTTGGCTGGAGTCGGTCAATGAGCCTCAGTTGTTTCTAAAATAACTGTGAAACAATAATTGGAATAATTGGCCAAGTGAAAATGCATGAATTTGTCAGAACTTGGTGCTGAAGTTTAGCTTTGTTTAAAATGTTCAATGTAACTGATATTAATGATGATCAAAAATCTACAAGGAAATTGTTAGACAGGATTATGGTGGGCTTCCTTTTTAGGATACAGGCCTGGTTATGTATTTAACAGTATATTACCACACTCCAGTCATTCCTTTAGTGATGTATTCTTTTCAAATTTGCAGCCTCAAATGTCTACTGTTATATAACTATGTATAGTGTACAATGCTAAAGATGGCTCAGAGGCATTCTTGTGTGTTCGATAGAATTGTGTGAGGGAGTGTTTTTTTAAGGAAGCAGGGAGAGAAATGTGGATTGGTGGTGAATGTAGTGTTGCAGTAAAATTTCAAACTGTACCCAGCAAAGTTGAGACCATTAAATTGAACTATCTTTAATAATTTCTAACTTTTATATGCTGCATTTAGATCAATTATTTATAAGTAAGCGGGTTGAGAGAATGTTTTTACTTACAAAATGTGGCTGCATTGAGTGATTTGGAAACACAGGAACTTGAATATAATGGGCAATGTGTAATGTATGACTTAGGACTTTCAGGGTTGGATTTAACCATTTTTGTAGCCCCAGCAAGGGAGGGGTGGGGTAAGAAATGAAAGTTTGTTTATGACAAAGTGCCGTTTTTAAAAAAATTGTACAAATACTTGTGTTAATCTGAAACGTTTAATGCCTTTTTAACTGTAAATATCTAATTTTCAATGTAAAAATTGGGATTGAAAACAAATTAAGCCTTGCAGGGTTGTGTCTTATGATTAAATCTGCTTGCATGGAGGTGGTGATGGCTGGTTCTTAGCTGAACCTGTAGATGGAGCATTTTGTTCCATTACTGGCGTGGTGCATGTGATTCAAATGTGATTTGGCATTAATCATCCATTATGGAAAAAAATCCTTCAATTTGTATTTCACATCAGGAGCACATCTCAAAATGCTTCACAGGATTTACTGTAAAGCACTTTGTACTGTACTGTATTTTGTAGGCAAAGTTTGCAGATTACTTCCTCACACTTTCCTAGCTGACTGAAGTTGTGACTTGTGCAGAAATGTGTACCTGGGAGCAGTAAACAAATAAAGCATACTTAAACTCTGTACCCCATCACACCAGTCCTTGCCAGGCTCCACTGGCTCCCAATCACCGAATGGATCGATTTCAAGATCTTCTCACTCGTTTTCAAATCTCTTCATGCCATCGCAACTCCCTACCTATCCAACCTGCTTATCCCTCCATTTGGCTAGCTCCAGACTCCTGTTTGTTCCTTCTGCCCTCTGTTCCACCATCGGTAGCCGTGCTTTCAGCTACTACTCCCTGAAACTCTGGAACTCTCCCTCCCCACTTTCAAATCCCACCTAAAGACCTTCCTCTTTGATCTTGCTTACGATCACCTGCCTCTCCCCCTAGCTCATTGTCAGACTCCGCCACTGTGAAGCGTTCCGGGACGCTACCCCGCATGAAGGGCGCTATAAATTCAAGCTGCTTTTGTTATTTAATGGTCTGCATAGTAATCCTGTGAAGTCTAATCAAAAACTTTGTGGTTGCCCTGAAGCAGTATGACTTGCCATTAAACTGTTCA